GATGCTCCTCATTGTCTCGACCGTTTTTTTCTGCTTCAACTTGCCGGCCTACGTCATGCGCATCTATGCTTTCTTGCAGGTGAGACTTTTTCACGCGTGACTTGGTACTTGTACTTATTTTGTTGAACAAATCATTTTTTTTTTTTCTTCGTCAAGTAGCTATACGCCAAAACGTTGATCAAAGTGGCTCCTGATTTTGTACTCGAGTAATGCACTGATAAATAAAGTGTAAGGATGAAATATGTTTTTTTTTTTTTTTTTACAAAACGGGCCGTAGAACAACGAATTTTCAAAATTCAGTTTATAGTGGAGCAATAACATCAAATAAGAAGATTCAATAAACTAAACTTTCAAAAGAGTTTCATTCGAAAAATGCGTGTTGAATTTGTTGCGTTTACTGTACAGTGATCAAGAGATTAAAAACTTTTCCATGCAGTCAATGAAAGATGGTTTTTCCGTGATTATCGAAAAATTCTAAAAGGTTGGCAATTCAGTTAAAAAAAAAAGCCTCGAATCGTAAAATGAACCAAATCCTATTCGTTCCATATTAATGAATCAGTCAATAATGTACACAAGAGAAAAGAACCAATATCCAATTTGTCCCATACCGATATTGTACACTGAATTAATGAATACGTAATGTAGGGAATGTAATTAATTGCGCTACCAAAATGTGTACATACGTATGTATATTGAAATGATCCAAACTATACCCGAGACAAGCGTATTTCTCCTTGTTGTCAATGTTCAGACCGATTGATCTTAGAAAAAAGATATCGGTAGCGAAATAATAGCATAATGTTTCAGTTGCAGAAGGACGGCACGGAGACGGAGCTCGAGGTGCTTGTGCAAAAGGCCTGCAACTTGCTCTTCGACACGAATTTCGGCATAAGTTTTGGTCTTTATTGCGCGAGCGGCCAAAATTTTCGCGCTGCCGTCAAACAGCTTTTCCACTGTCGTTACTGCCGGCGTCGAACGACACTACTACGCATCAGACTGGCCAAGCGATCCTCGTCCAACCAGGCAAATCGATACGGTACTCAAAGGGACTCTCTGTACACCTATACGGTTCATCCAGTCCATTGAGGGATGGACATATATTCTGATGCTACGAAGCGAATCGTGGAGGGCGCAATGGTGATGGGTCAACACTATGTGTTTTGGTGTATGCATGTTTTAGGACCCGCCACTATATGCTATATACCCTTTACGTGTACGCTGAGCTTCACAGCATAGGTACATCCCTCAATTAGGGGATACTAAAAATAATGACCATCAGAAGGCTAAAGTGCAATCAGCTGACCTGTCGCGTGCTGGTCAATCATCACTTGATATAACAAAATCATACACGATTTCATTAGTAACGATATACCTACACAAAAGTTTTTTCTCTCTCTCGGTATAAAAAGAGTAATCGTAATGACATGTTTGGGCGCAACAGGTACCGAGACGCTGCGAACGAGCGGTTCAACGCCCAGGGACGAGCGCACGGCGACCATACGCGACAAACCGTGGAAGGACTCGTTCGAGTTGCGCCCGTACACCACCAAGAGTACTCTGCCCGAGGCAAAAACGGAAATCGAAGAGTACTGCGCTAGTGCGGTCAACACCGATGATGCATCGAGTTACTCGATTAAAATCCACCATTCCAGAGACTCGAGCAACGGCTGACGTAGTCGTCGCAATCAGGACTATAGGACAATCTCCCAAAGAACTGCAACGAGACGATAGGGATTTATCGATGGACAGGCTGTGCAATTTCACTTGGCGCAACGATTGCGCATCTAAAGTATATGGATACATGAGTACTTATGTAATAATTTATCGTGTAACGGAAGCAGAGGGAGTCGAGTGCATTTTTTTCTGGATTTGCACGTGTAAAAAGTTAATCGTAGTTGAGAGTATCGGCAATTCTGCCGCGAACACAAGTGCAGATGGTACGCGCATGGCGCATGGGTGTATTCGTTACGAGCATAGCATATAATACAGATTACATATAACTGTATGGTATTTTATCTATTATACGTGTTTAATGACGATATACCTACTTGTTGAAAAAACTCGTTATCGTTATCGCGATGGGCGTTTGCCTATGGACTGGGTATGACCAGCTGTCGACTGACGTGCCACTATAATTTTGTACAATGTTTATTTACAACAGCAGCAATCGACGGGCGCTTGTATGTCGCTGTTCACGAGTGGCGTTTATCGTTCAACGCGGAGCAAACATTTTTTTACCCTCCGACAAGCACATGATTTTTCGTTGATACGGACTTGTTTTTATAACGACACTTTTTTTCTTTTTTTTTCCTTCGTGTTACTCATTGAGATTTTACAGCTTCGACTGAACAAGTGATTGCAGAGGGAAAAAGATTTCTTTGATTATCTTGAAAATTCAGTTGTCAATCAGTAAGCTTGTCAGGTACATAGTTTTCAAACAAATTTAAAATATTGACTCCGTCGCTTAAACATTTTTTTTTTTATTTTTGGCTTAAAAGAAAGATAAATATTCTGATGAATACTCCTACATTCTTAGGTAATTCTTCTTCTGATAAACGAGAGCCGCAAGAAATAAGAAAAAATGCATGGCACAGCATACATTAATGGCGTAACAAGAATAATTACGTCAACTTATTTGGCTTGTTTCACTATAAGTACTACACATTATCTCATTTCTTGTTACCTACCCTATAAGCTTGGCATAGGGTATTAATCTCGATATTGTCACATGTGTCAATATTTATAAATGAACTTCATTCAGCTTGCAAATGTACACTGAGCAACCCAATTCTTTGAATAAAAGAAAATTTATTTACCCTCATTCCGTTAAATATTTTCTTATGAGTAAAAAAATATAAGTTAATTGAAAATAATATTTTATTAAATCAAAATTTTCTTTTTTTAATTACGAATTTCTCATTTAGTTGTACGAAATGTTTTTTTGAATCGACTAAATTTGTTTCAATTAAAAGAAAATATTTAACGGAATGAGGGTAAAGAAATTTTCTTTGATTCAAAGAATTTGGTTGCTCAGTGTATTAAACAAAAACAACATCAATAAGTGAAAGATGATTTCCATACCAAAATACATTTAATTTATGGGCATAAATAAACTATGCATCAAGTCGTCTCACACGCATAAACATAGACTTACACAAAGCAACTTTTATGTGATGTGCTTACGAAAGCACTTATTAGCTTATTCCCAAGCTTTTTATACGTTACGAAACTGAAACAAAACAAAAATAATATTTATAAGCCGGTAAAACAGGGTGGTATTCAATTAGGAATATGCATTTAAAAAATAATAAAATCTTTTCAAGTCCCAACCCTTCACAGTATTTTTTAATGGATTTTTTATCCTATTGTCGATTTCCGAGAAATTATTATATAAAATTTACCTTTTAATTTTGTTCTCCAGTAACTCCATTATTTTATATTTTATTTTTTATTTCTTTTAGCTCACTGACGCATCGGTAGTTTTATTAAAGGTGGTCGATAAAGTATTTTGCAGTATTATTTGATTTATATAGAAAAAAAAAAAAAAAAAAAAAACCAAAATGCCAAGTTAAGATTAAATTGTACATAATTGTATAAACAGTACCTACATTATAATTAGATACAGTTTACTGCGATGCGAATTAATGTAATGCATCTCAAAATGGAAATTGCACGTAGTTACACATATCATGATGTTGTAAAGTAAATTAATTTCTGGTGTTTATTGATTCGAGACACCAAAGAATCGCAGTCGACGAAAATAAATGTTAAAAGCGCGTAGGTAAAGTAAAACATTACAGATGATTTAAATATAATTTTAAAATACATTTTTTATCACTATTATTATAATCATTATTACTGTTCTTATAAAATATTACACGTAAGATGGCATCACTCGTGTTTTTCAAGTATTTATTTTACTGTAAATAGGTATGTATCATTGTTACGAATGCATTACTTACTTATTTTTATTTGTACAAATTATGGGCCAGTGATTATGTTTTATTTTCGGCAAAACAAATTCTGCAACGATCACCTAATTACTGTATCCTAAAACTGTGAGCTCATAATTAAAAAAAAAACATTAAATGAAATTTATTTTTCATTCAAATGACTTCGTAAATGTTTGACCGTATAGCCGCCAGTCAGACACTATAAACGTAAAGCACAGAAGCGATCCACCCATCCCATCACTCCCGCAAGACCTATTAAGGAAAAGAAAATTACACCCTTGTGACGTCACATCCAAACAGTGTCGTTCCTATTGGCTGCTGATTATTCCCAGCCTTTCTACCTGTATACCTCGGACCTACTTCCCGCTTTAACTATCTTACTAGGGCTCATGTGTCTAGTCTAGTATACAAGATGTATTAAAATTGTAAGATTAGCGTCCTGAAATAATTCAAGGTTACAAAGGACATCGTATACATGCAACGACAAAAAATCCACCATCCCTTCTACGACATCGAAGAGTTAATGCTACTAAGTTAAAGAGCGCCTAGATTATGGAACCACAATGGGTCATACGGTTACTGGTAGGTATTTAGAATCACCTCCGAGCTTAGGGTCACAAATAGACACATACTGCCACTAAAAGTCTTTCGTCTCTCATAAAACTGCGAAACAAGTTATTGCATCGTTCATGAAACACAATTGTACGCTTAAAGGTAAACTAGAACTAAAATTATGCATAAACACATAAGGTCCTCATTTTTTAATTAACAGTGTTTAATATTTATTGATGGGTATATACGGAGCACTTTTATTTATGTCAGTCGTAAAAAATTGCAACCATACGAGTCGATTTTATCTGCGTATAAAAGAATACACAAGCGGGACGTATTAAATTAATGCTCGCGTAAGTATTATATGCCTATATGGGATCGGTATTGAAGTGCTGCCGTAAAGTAACAGGGTACTAAAAAAGCCTCGATCGAAGGTACCAACAAAATGATACTTGAAATTGTGCGTGGAGGAGTGATAAAAATGTGTGCACTCACCGGTCTCGGAGTCAGGTGCGGGCAAGTTTCGCACGTTGCCGAAGAAGCGCTGCTCGAGTAGTTGGAGCAGCTGGAGCGCGGCCTCTTGGACCGGAGCCCTGGGGCAGCCAGTGTTCATCAGCGTCACGTTTATGATGCTCGTGTAATGGTCGCATGGATATTCCCTGCAATAAGGTAGGAGTAAAAATCATAATACATCTGTATACGCGTATACGTGCGAAAAATCGTAATTCTTGATATCGGTTTGGTTTTCAAGATTTGCTCTAATTTGATAGGTACCAACATTATGTACATAAATAGGTACATGATTGAACTACTTGGTATATTAAAACGAGTATAATATTGAATTACTTTATTTTTAGTGGAAAAAGTCAAACTTACCGAGCGCTGAAGATGGTAGCCAGAGCTAGGAAGCAACCGTCAGCCACTTGAGGTAGTCCGGTATAGCAGCGGTCGACCACCCAATCTAGGAGTGCTCCGATATCGGGGTTACCCTCGAGCAGGAGAACAACAGTGTCGCGAGCAAGATTGTAAATCTAAGAGAAACAATTTCACATGCATACCCGTACTCGATGTAAACAACTAAAGACCCTTTTTTCCCTAAATTTGCTTTTGTTTAATGAGTTCAGATTTTAACGCTGAATTTTTCATTGTCAGTGAATGTGATGGTAAAAAAGAAAAAAAATGTTGAACATAAGATCCTGTACACCTGCGCGTGATAATAGCGTCCATAAATTGTACCTTTTCGTCTTTACTCGACAGTAGGAGGTCCACCCACTGATAGAGTATAGATCCCTCTTCTGAGAGACTCGGCGGATTGAAGCAAGCCCCGCAGCAGAGCAGCCCACTCATGGCTTGCAGCGCCGACATCTGGAGGTCCGAGCACTTGTCGTCGTCGGGGACAAGGGGACCGCTCGCCAATGGCTTGCCGTAAGGTCCGGCCCAGCTCGCGAATTGAGTGAACAGGTTGCGCCGCAAATCGCGTTTCAACAGCACGTGGCAGGCTTCAACTGATTTTTATCAAAGTTTCCCTTATTTTTTACCACTCGTAATGTGCCTTTATTAAAATAAGTACGAAAATATTTTCGGATATTTAAACGCATGGCTAACAAATGTACACAACGGTTGTTGTGCGATGGTAATGAAAAGACGATAATTTCAAGAATACACAATATATGCGTGAAATGGACAATTCCGAAAACCTATACAAATGAACAAATAAAAAAAAAAAAAAATAAAAAATGAAATTACTCACGCGAAAAGCTCTTGAGCATTTTTCGCACGAAATTACAAAAGTGTAGTTTAATTTCCTTGACGGCGGGGGCTTCTTTGTCGTTCTCGTTTTCCAGGTACACTCGAGCTCCATCGATGTACTCGACGAAGGTCGGATGAAGGGATTGCGTCTCTCGATCCAGTACAGCTGGGCTGCGCAATTACCATAAACAAAGGGACAAGCAAAACAATGATGTAGGTATATCAAAGACTCCCGCTAAATATCAAATGTAATCTGTCATCGCCACACCTTACACTGTGTGCGAGATGATGTGTATACAATAATTGATCAAGTCCACTTCTCAATCTGCCCAATCCACGTGTAATTATACTTGTGTGCAGTATAGGTAAATGCGTGTCAAACAATTGAGAAGGACCTTATTCACGCTTTAATTGGAATCTAGGAATCAACTACATGGCTCGCTTTTCCCATTCATTAAAAAAAAAAAACACGTGACAAATACGCGTACGACGTATAAACATACATAGTATTAAACGCGCTGGCGATACATTTGAATAAATCATTAGTATACATAATTAATGAAATCAATGATGGAGAAGGAGATGTAATATTTCATACTTGCGTGGAAATTATATAGCTTACCAAATGCCAAAGGTGCCGTACTCGGCAATGAGCTCGAGTACCCGAACGAGCTGTAATCTAAGGGCATCCCGACGCCTGCGTCGCCTCATGTTTTCTTGCTTGCGGTCGACTGCCTCTCGGATGTAGGGCACCAGTTCTTCCATTAAATCCCTACGTGGATAAATTTTTGTTTGTGAGTATAATAGCTGCGCGAAAAAGCTCGCTCGGAGGTATTTGTCCGGATGACATTGGTTCAAACGCGTTCATCTGACACATTTTTACGAATTTTGTATGACAGTGCCCTTTTTTCCTTCCGCATAGTATGTTAAAAAACTGTAGCGCGCTTATTTCGTATTATTTTCTTGTTCGATGCGTACACCAGCCTTAAAGTAACAAAGCCCGGTTTTAATCAGCAACATTTTCCGCCCCTATCGTCTCCTTCGTAATAACCGGTGGCTTATTGCCGTGCGTCTATAGAAACAGCGTGGGGCAGAGACAGAAAGAGATATAAAAGGTCACAATGTATACACGTCTGTGTATTAACACGGTGACGTGAGATTAATTGTATTGATGGGGCATGAATTTCTCGAGAAAGTACTAAATTGTACCATATGTCCTTGACTGGTGGCGAAGTTTACTCTATCCCTATACGCATCCACAACGCACCGATTATTTTCTTTCTTTATTTTCATATATTTGGATTCAACTTTTTTTTTCTTTCTAAGGTGCTGTCTTAAAATTCATCTCGTACTTTTTTTCTTTCAACTGTATCCGAAATGAACATAATTTTCGTACTGCTTCGCTTATGCGTGAGTAAGGAGAAAATTTTGCACCATTAAAATAAATTTGAAAAATTTGAAACCGTTTCTGTGGTACATTCGTATGGTACCATTTAAAATTTATACCGAAATTGATTGACCGATGCATTGTATAATTATGCAATTGGATCTGCAATTTCATTTTCAACGTGCAAATTTTGGTAGTTCAAAAACCTAAAAAGGGACAAGTGAAAAAATGTCTAACCCGGTAATTTTTAAACCAAACGTTATGATGATGTTTATCTTGAATTTCGCATCGGAAATAAACAACGAATTTGTTATTTTTTTACAACGTTCCACTTACTTGAGAGCATCGGCGTTGACTTTGCCGATGGCGTGTACAGCGGCGTCGCGCACATCGATGGTTTCGCACCTGAGCAATGGCACCGTCAGCTTGTAAAGAGCGGACGGACTGGCGTTCGTACCTGGGGACTTGTTGTCACCTCGCTCGGCTGACAGGCTGTCCGGCGACGAGCTGCAATATTCGTGCAAATCAAGAAACAGCTCGTCCAATGGTCCATGTGCACACGGTAGCTGTTGCTTCCCATTAAAATCATGGTAACACGATGTTTTTTTTTGATGGGCGTTTCGTAAGTCCATCCTCTCGTCGAGCAATATCGCGCAAAAATTCGAGATCTTTATAAATTATGCGATTACATGTTTCTACCGTACACCTCAGGTTTTTTCGGTGATTCTAACGATACTGAATTCATTTGAAATTTACCACGAAGTTAATCGTAACAATAAACCGTAATAAATAATCAAACATAAGTTAATCGTGATGAATAATCAAACATAAGTAGTGTGGTTTGAAATTGAATGTGCAGGGCCAAAAATATATAGCCTATGAAATACAACAATTTATTTTTTGACTCGTAAAATGTACTTGCACAAATAAACGACGATATTGCTCAACTGAAAACGAAGACTCGGATTTAAAAATAAAATCCATAATCTTCCAAAGCTGCCAAATATTGTTGAAAAATCGTTGTAAATGTAAGCTTGATAATAATGAGGATAATTACCGTCACCTATATTTACCAGTCTACTCTACGAAGTACGATGAAAAAAAAAAAAAAAAAAATTACAATGCCAATGCTACATAGATTGAGAAAGAAGAAGAATGAAGTCAAAAATACAATGAATCAAGCGAAGCCAGGCCATTCTTGTGTTATGGGTCATTTCAAGAAAAAATGCAATATTTTGATGCGAGGTATAAGATTAGTATAATAAAATTAACGTGAGGTCCTACCACAACTTTTTGGACTTGTATATTTGCAGCTACAACTGACTACTTTTAAATCCTTTAAAAAAAAATAAAATTTTTTCTTAAGCATGCAACGTTTTGTAAAAAAATAAAGATAAGGTATTCGTGAAATGGCCCATAATATGTTATGTGGGCTACGTGCAAAGGTTGAATAATGATAAAGCATTTTCACCAGCAGTAACATGACTTTATTACAATAAAATGTTCTTCATGCGTTTCGGTTGATTATATGTTTAGTGGGCGTGTAAACCACAATTCATACTTCTACGAGGGTTGTTCGTAAAATCGAAGCTTCGTAGCAGTTAAAAAGTTTTTATTTATTCTGTAAAATTACATAAGTTTAATTGAAATAATGTTTAAATGTTTGGTAATGCTCATTGACAACCGTGTACTATTAAACGTGGGCTACTCAAAGTGAACGACTATTTCAACACAAGTTTCATCGATTTGCGTTTACTTAGTCCAGAGGAAATTAATCGCCGAACGAGTGGGGAAAGTACTCGGCTGGAAACTACCGTGAAATTCCACGAAAAATATACTCCTTTACAAAAAATTCACTGTTTGCTGGTTGGAAACGAAACAACAAATGTAATTTTTTATGCGATACGTACATAATGATTTCTTCAGATATCATTCTACTTTGTCATTTAAATTTTATCTGCAGTAACACGTGTGGAACGAGATGGCACAAAAACGTTATACGTCCAAACCCTTTTCCCCCCTATCTAATGTAAATACGGGGAGAATCTACAGGAATGTCGTGAATTGAATAAATAATTTATGATACTCTTAAGTATTATGAAGTAAATTTGAAAAAAAAAACTCACGAAATTTCGAAAAAAAGTAAAAAATTTATCATCTATATGTAAGCCTATTTACAGGGGACAGCCGGAATGAAACATGATTCACTTTTCACTCAAGGGGGGGGGGGTAAATAATTGACAAAAAAAATCAACACAAAGTGAGTACACATGGTCATTATGTATTATGCCAAAAGTGAGAGTTTGCTTGTGTATGCGTGTATATTGAAGCGTGCGTGTGTTTTTCAAAGAATTCACACGTATATCATGGTGTCACATAATGTGCTCTGTGAACGGTACGTAGTTTTTTTTTTTTTTTTTTTTTTTTTGCCACAATTTATCGGCCGGCCGGCAACGAATTCACAATGAGCTAGTCTTACCTAGTCCGCTTATGCCTGGTGTAGATGCCGGATATGGACGGTACGGAGAAGCGGCCCGGCAGGGTTTGGGCCCCGCCGAGGTTCTCCAGGCTCTGACTCAACTCCTTACTCATGCACAACACACCAAACTCCACCGTATGCTGACCACTATATTTTACACGTATGGTATATGGTTACGTATATCATGGGTTTTGGCGTTTTACACATTTATTGCCACAACGGTGTTTGACGTGTAATGTTAATCAACCCAGAGGGCATTCTTTCGGTTGTTGGAGAAAATTGGTACATTACGTCACTAGGGCACAAAGTACAAATATGGGCGCTTGAAGGGCGCGCTTGTTGTAGGGTGATGCTTGAGTCGCGTATAATGTTTTTTTTTACCGAGGGCGCAAAGCGGCAGTTGCACTTTGGGCCCATGGTAAGAATAGTAGTTTTCGTCAGATAAGTGCCATCGTCTCCGGGGCTATTTTGCGGCCCAAGGGATCTGCGAAGCAGGCCCGAGGGTTCGTAAGGTTGCCCCGGTGGGATGGAGCTTATGTGGCGAATGCCATTTTTCCTACCGAGAGCACACCAGCCTCTCAAAAATTCTCAAGGCCTGCTTCGCAGATCGCTTGGGTCGCAAAATAACCCCGGAGACGATGGCACTTATCTGACAAAAACTACTATTTTTTTTTTTTTTTTCATGCGTCGACTTTGATTTTAATTAACTCCCGGGAAAACACTGGGTTCACAACCCTCGCGCGGTGTCATTTTACGCTGGTCCGGATTAATTTCGCTTTCAAAATACGTGACTCGGCGTACACAATACAAACACTTTGTACCCTAGCAATATTACTACAATTAATTTTGGCTTTCGTGCGGTAACAATATTTTATTGAATTTCACGACATATTTCAATTTTAAATTAAAAAAGTAAAACTGCTCCTTTTGTTCTTTTTTTTTTTGTTTTTTGAAAGTGTACAGTTTCGACATCACATTTATAGAATTATTGTAATATAAATATGGAAATTAATAAATATACAGGTATAACAACGATAAGTTCCATGCGGTATTAATAAAGAAGGTTGCAGGCAAAGTAGAGTTGCAAAAATTATACGCTCTAGTTTTCATTTTAGCACAATAATAATTATATTACGTTTTTCGTTTATTGTATGTAATAAGGTAAAACCATCGATTCTCAATAAATCATTGTAATTTTTATAATTAAAATTAAACGGTACTTTATATTCGGGGTAAAAAAATTTTAAATAATAATTGATCAGACACGAGCTGCGCTTGCTTGTTAGATTAGAAAAGATTTTTTTTCTTACAAAGTACAACTTGTTTATTTTAGTTACTATGTTCATTACCAGAATAAAACGTATAATTACACAGTACACATTTTTGAATTTGCAGTATTGGATAAAATTCTCTAAATATATTGTATTTTTTAAAATTAAGCAAAAACGTATATGTTTAAGTTGTAGAGAAAAATATTTTATTTTCCGTAATTCACAAGTTTTTAGTTATATATTCAGAATGGAAAAAAAAATTAGATGCTTTAAAACGATTGTTTGACTTTTTAAAAACTTTACAATTTTTGTTAGTTAGAAAATTCCGGATGTTTTTCTTAATCAATCAAAAAACAAGTAAACTGTTGATATCAATTAATTAAAAGAAAATTGACTAAAGCTTTCTATTATTTTAATAAAAAAAGTTTAAAGAGGATTGCATTGCAAATAAAATTTTTTTTATTGCTCATGTCAAACTAAAATTTTTTCGATTTACTTTGTTAATTAGACAAAGAATATTATATTGCGTAATATGTGCGCGAAGTAGGTGATTCTCGTACGAGTGTTGATTCGGTCACTCAAGTAAGGCAAGGGTATTCAATACTTTCCATTGCATTTTTTCAATGTTTGCGATGAAAAATTATCAGGAAATAACTTACTATTAATAAAAATTTAATTTTACATAACAAATATTTTGATTAAATTGTAGAAAAAAAATCATATATGCAAGTTTCGTTACATTTAAAAAAAAGTAGTATTTACTTTGGTAACTGATTTAAAACAAGCAACAGTTTAAGGTATTAAACAAAGTAAGATAAATCTTGCAGTGCAAAAATGCATATATCAAAGTACTTTCTATTATTATTAGTAATAATCATCGCAAAAATATTTATTAAATGCTACAAGCACACAGGACCCATTATTTGTTAAATAATAAAGTAATGATGAATAAAGACAACAATGTATTAATCCAAAAACTAACATCGATTCATAGGACAATGTACGATTACGGGCTACAATTTTAATTTTTAAGTTATGTAATCATTTCACCAAAATATTACAAAGTAATATTATCTTTGATACATAAATCCACATCAGGCTTTTTTTACGTCACGCGACGTTTAGTAAAAATAAAAATTAGACTCTACTACCGTATACATAAATATTGCAAGGTAATCTTACCTCAAGCTGAGATCTGGGCTTGCACAGCGAATTATCGGACTTGGGATGGGTGGGACAACGCGATATCCAAACGTCAAATAGTTTTTCCAAACGTGCATGTAAACATCTCTCTCGTTGACGGGTTTGCGAATGGCCGTAGAACTTCGTAAAAGGGACGCTCTGTTGTCATTTACTGGACTACAATTCATAAAGTGTAGCATTAGAAAAAAAAAAAAATAAAAAAAAATAAAAATTAAAAAACTTTTTTTTTTAATTCAAAACTTACGTAGGATCTACGACGGTGAATAACGAGTTCATTCGGTTAAAAACAATAGGCCACGAGTGAGCGACAGCATTTGGACACAGTGTCAAAACTCTGTCCTTTTCTAAAAATGCAAACAAACAACTGCTCCAAGGATCGGCTCCACTTAAATTTAACAATGAGGAACTTTTTGTGCTGTTTTCGTCGTGGAATCCTATGGAAAGAAATAACGTTCGTAAAAACAAATACGTGGATTGAAAAATAGTGCAAAAAAATTAAACGTACCAGCCGTCCAAACGCAACTGCTGCGATCGGCAATCCATTGTAAATCTACATTTGGCGTCGATGCGGCGGCTGCTTTCTCCGCGGGTGGAAGCATGTGATAATACTTTTCGAGAACTGCCGGGCAGCAGGCATCAATCACATCAATCACAGGCTGATCGTCTTCTAGACTAGCTGATGTTTCACGAAAGGCAGAAATTTTCATTGGTCGTGTAAAATTAATGTCGGTGTCCATACAAAAAAACCACAACAACATTATACTCACCATAATTCTTCAGCAAAATCTTGATCTCTCGAAGTATATGAACGGCAAGCCGTCGCGGGTACAATCGGCAATTGCACAGCATGACGAGAGCAAAGCCTTCGACCAAGTGAAAGATGCTCGAGACCGGCTCGACCTTCTGTCCTGCCTCGCTCTTTTTCACGCCGGCATCAACAACGCGCGAATTCAATCTCGCAACATCGGTCGCTGCCGGCTGTTCTTTCGCCTTGGAGCTCGGATTGGCCAGCGCGTTCTTCCAACAGGTAAGCAGCTGCAGCAGCATGCGCAGTCCGTTGTCCAATAACTGGGGAAACGTGTCCTGAACATCCCTGGAGAGAAACTGCGTGAAGCCAAACACTACGTCCTGCCGCCAGTCGGGAAAGTCGAGCACGAGCGTTTGGAGACTCTGGTAAGCCAAGCCCCGAAGTTCCTCGTCCATGTGCACGGTGAGTCGAGAGAGCATGTCGACGAGCTCGGCACCGGTCATACCGTCGGGGATGAGACGAGGCACGGCGGCTACGCACGTGCGGAACAGATCAATGCGAGGCTTGCGCTCGCCGGTTATCATCTCGTCTGGCTCTTTGTTCACGTTTTGGGTGCTCGTCATCATCAGAGGCCGCCCGTAGTGCACGTCGAGGGCGCGTAAGATGTCGACGAAGACGCGACGGACGTGCGGGAAATAGGATGACATACCGATACTTTTGGCCGTGTCCTCTGTGAGCATCTGAAGGGAAAAAATCGAGTGTAAATAAAAATGCTGGTGAGTCGTATGGATGAAAGTTGTACTTACTTTGTTTAGATAAGTCTTCTTGACACGCATGGTATTTCCACTGGGCAAGACGCCCATGGTCCTTGGCATGGGTGGCTCGCCCTCTTTTTGCTGCAAACTATCAGCAACGACCAGAAATGCACGCAAGCCGATGCTCATTCTTTCCGGCGTGAGGATGATCTTTACGGGTCGACCGACCGATAGCAAATCGAAAACAATTTCACGCATTGCGAAATCCAAGCGTTCCTGCGCGATGAATTGGATGATTTTTACGAAGATGTTGAGCGGTGTATCGCGCGGAACCACAGCCTTCGAGCCTTTGGGAAACAACGAGTTGACGATGCTCTGTAGTCGGCTTTGCGTCGCCGAATTGCTCTCGCACTTGATGCGGATCATGTAGACCCAGAGTAGACGGTAGAGAGCCTCTGTTGTGAAACAAGAAGGATCGAATTATGTTGACACGAGGACTTTCAATGGAATAATATTTTCGACTCTTACCTAGAGCGACGCGAGAAATTTTAGGGTCGCGATTTTTTAAATGAGAAAGACACATCGCTAAAAAGTAGTGCCAATTTTGCAAAAAGAACGTCTTTTGGCTGACGCATAGGAGACAAGTGACCAAGGGAAAAAGCGAAAGGCGATGCTTGTTTTTCGTACACATGTCCAATGTCGTAGAATACAACATCTCGACGAAATTCTTCAAACAAGGTACGTTCACTTCATTTTTCACAGCCTGTAAAATTTTTTCATTATTCGATGCAAACAAATATGTGAGAATAGTTAATTGTTAAGAATTAATTATTCGTACAGCTGCAACAGGAACGAGAATTTCCACAAATAAACCGGCAAGTGCGTGCTTTACATCCTTATCTTTTACTTCTAAAAAATATTGGGCACACTCTTGCATAAACTGAAAGGATGCCTCGAATTCTTCTATTGGTACCATCTGGAATATTCATTAAAGCGGAAGTAAAAAAATAAGCAATAAATTTTTAGAATCAAACTTTGCGTTACCTTCACTCGGAAAAATTTCATTCCCATGAGTAAAGAAATTATGCTTTGAGTCGTATGTGGTCCAGGTTCTTTGGCTCTCAGTTCTTTTAATTCAACCATGAAACGCTTTCGAACCGACATGAAGCGAGACTGCGCTAATACACCAATCACTTCGGCATACAAATCCGCAATTATGTGAATGTTTACTGCATTTGATTCGTTTTGAATTCTGCGAGAACGTTTTTAAATTGGCTTAAGAATAGATCATTAAAAAATATGTATAATCAAAAGATACGTGCTTACCCTTCTCTATATTTGAAGTGTTTGAAGGCAATATTTTCAATGTAAGACACTAAATCTTCGTGACCGGGATGGAATGGTAACTGTTTCAGGATTTCTATTAACATTAGGCAAAATATAAATTCCACAGCCAAATCTCGCCTCTCCTGAAGTAATTCTGCTTCAGTCTTCTCAACCGTTTCCTGACCACTGGCCGATACTTGTGTACTATATACAATGGTATACATAATACTGGAAGACAAAAGAAATGAACAATAAACATTTGAATCAATTTAACTTGATCCCACTTCGATCTCATACTTACCTTTTTCCTTTTTGATCTTCCTTGGCAGCAGCAAGCTTCTTTTGATCCGTTCCATGGTCCACAAGTTGTCTTTCGTACCAATTGAAAAGGGCACGCAAAATGGATGGCAGACAGTATTCGGCCACCGATCCAAAGGACGACAAGAGCTGATCAAACTGAGCGTCCTCGCCCCTCTGCAAAACTTTGGACAAAGATTTTTCCTAAAAAAAGAAAAAGTTTAATAATCAGCATTTAATAAGAAAGCAAAGGGAATATACGAGCTTCAAATGGGCTTACGTTTTCGGTCATGACAGCTTCCATCTTCTTTTCCGCCTGATTCGTGAAATCCGCGAACAATGATCGCATCACGTATTCACCCGGCCTCAGATCCATGTCCCCCGGCTGCTGTGGCTTCATTGTTTCTTTTTGCACGCCCCAAGGTAGAATAACCGTCACCGTACTCGCTGTGCTCGAGTTTGATTCTGCAACGATTTAATGGCCAAGTAGGTATTTTTTTTTTTTTTTTTTTATTAACGCTCAAGTGGATTGGGTGTTTTTCATGCAACCGATTGATTGAAATATTATTTCGGATGACAATGAAAAGCTCAACAAAGAAAACACATTCCTTTCCTGTTATTTCAGCTATAATTTAAGACTACCGTTAATCGTTACAAAAAGCAAGTGATTGGCTTGTAAATAAAGAATTACTCATTTTTTTGGTAAAGCTATGAATTTTCTTAATTTGTTTTCGGTACTTATCACATTTGAAATGTGAGGCAATTTTAAATGACTCATGAAACTGAAGTTCATTTTTAAAATCAAGTAAACAACATAGGGACGATATCGAAACATATAACCGATTTTTAAATCGTTGGATATTCATTTGGAAAAAAAAAAAAAAAAAAAATTATGCATGAAAATTCAAACAAATAACATAAATTTTTTTGAATTACACCAAAACAAGAGCCAAGAAAACGGTAATTTTTAAAAGCGTCAAATGGAAAAGAAAGAAAAAACTGACCATTGCCGGACATCGAGGTACTCGCGGTGTGCGTACTCGCTGCATCACTGCCTTCCCCTTGACCGGCTAGCCGCTGACTCACGAGCGTATCTTGACATAGTCCTGAGAAGCTTGTTGTTTCCGCCGTCCCCTCATTGAGTCCTTCGGTTTGAACCACTCGCGACTCGGTGGCTTCTGGTGTGCGATAAGGACAGAGAAATATTGAGGAAGTACAAATTTTTACGACTTCATGGTGACTTTGGAGCGAAAAAAAGATAAAGATAAACAAAACTAAGCAAAAGCACGGCGTGACCGAAATATCATCTATCGAGCTGTTGTTTGGCAAGTGAATCGTTAGTGAGTTTGGAGGAAAGAGTTAGCGAGACGCTAATTCTCAACTCTGTATTGAAACCGACTAGGAAATGAAGCCCCATTTTGTAACGTAACAGATGCCCACGACATACCTTAACTTAATTACAACAAGTTAATAGCTATACTTGACTTTGACCGTATGCTAAAGCTTTTGCGCGTTGCAAAAACGGATGAGAACTTAAAAAGCTGATTTTAATGTTGTAATACCTCCTTTTTTTTTCATGAACAGTCAATGCGGTATAATATATTTTTTACATGCACAGTTTTAGTTTGAGTTAAAACATACAATTTTCACATTGTACTAACAAACATTTCTCGATTACAAAAGCAAGGTAATTAATACTTAATATGTGATTTTAACAATAAAAAATTTTCTGTTGGATACATTTATAGAGTTTAAATCAATTTAATACGATAACGAATACATCATAAATAGTACGTGTTAAATTTACCATCTTGTACTCTGTTTTCTCCAGGTGGCTGGTTTTCTCCTCCTACAAAATTACGAATTGCGTTACGAAAACAATATCTGTGTAATGTACAAAAAAATTGTAAATATGATATTTTCTAATGTATATAAAATATGTATGAAAGCAAATAATGACTTTAAAAATACTGAATAAACAACAAAGATGCTTAAAGCTGACATAACACAGTAATTTAAACAAACATAGTCTAGTGCTATTATAGGATTATGCTGTCTCACAACTAGATTTACAAACCTTCTGTCATGTTTTCAATGTTTGCCTCACTTTCAGGCAACATCTTTTGACTTAGCTGTCAAGTCATCTCTGTAAAAATAAATAAGAATTATTCTCATTTTAGTTTTTGTTCAGTGATAATCATAATAATCACATTGATGGAACAATAAATTAGAAGGCTTATCGATTTGGTTCTTTGTAAATTTCTATATCTTTGAATTAACTTTTTAATATTAGTATCCTTTTCAAGTACAGAAGTATCAAGTACAAATAGTATTTAAAATGTTTCAGCTATGATCTTGAATGCACTTCAAGAAATATTAAAATACAACTCTCTTTAGTTCCATTAAATATGAATATTAAAATATTGTTCAGTCTAACAATAAACAAGTCAACACACCAATTTCGTTCATATACAGTTAAATATTACACAGAAAGCTTCAATATTTATTTACAGATTGTGTTTTAAACAAAAAAATACTACACAATGAAATGCACTAATGACAATTGTTTGTATCGATTTATTTTTAAGATAATTAAGTTAAAGATTTACCTCGAAGACAATATATACATATATATACATGTAGTGTACTCATACACACAATTTTCGTAAATACTCAAGTATATCATGGAAAAATCAATATACTACATGTATAACCAAAATAAAATTACGAAAATAATGAATGAAATGAATGAAATACACAAAACGTTCACTCAAATGTTCCGTGTGTTTGAAGTTAATTTTTCAATTAAAAATTTAAAAAAAATGTCTTGAGCAAGGCAACTTAAATAACTTCTTTTGTTGTAAGAACACGCAAGTTCATTATAAATTAAAAATTGAGCAAGCCCGTCACTCGGAGCGCGGCTACCGGGGTATTGTGCAAATAATAAACAATGGCTCTGAAATTGCCTTTGTTAGTAAATACTTACAGAGAGAGATAGAAAGTTTATGTGAAAAAAAAAAAAAAAATCATGCAAGCAAATGAATTAATACAACACTTTTCCCTTTGATAATTTATTTTAACACATTGAAAAATAAGCCAAATCATCTTTGATATAAAAGTGAACAAAAAAAGGCGCAATTAAACAATAATAAATGAAATTAAAGCACAAAAACGGAGTACAGAGTAACGAGTGCATAACCTCCAAAGTGGCAAAAACACCGCAAACTCTTTTGAGAGGTCTCTTGGCTATCAAATTCCAAATTTTTTTAAATACCTTGACACTATCACTGATACATCTTTCAATTTAAAATCCACGATTTTTCATCAATCAATGTCAATATAACAGTCAAGTGAGGGAGGCATACACAATCACACATACATACACTGCACTGTCATTTAATAAAAAAATCTCTACGTAGCCAACGAAAGCTCAGCACAAGTTTTAATTAAACAAGCACTATAATGTTCGTCCGTGAAAATTAATTAAGTACCTTGGGATGCGTCAATTAGATGAAGTCATCGTTCCCTCAATATCCTATAAAGAAAAAAATCTCCGGCTTTCATTGACACACACGCACTCTGTATATCATATACTTATATTTTTATCAGGATGTACAGAGAGACATATATATACGCTCTGGTTCCTCTAAATATTATGCTCCTAGTTTTCCAGTGAGAGAGGCAGAGCGTGTTTTTGTATTGTGTTTATTTTTCTTTTTGGCGAAAAATTTTATTAGATTGAACTCTGACCTCAGCTGGTCAGGCAGTCGCTATATATTATTGCGTGGGTGGTGTGTAGTGGTAGTTAGTGGCCAATGGAGTCGTACGATGGCGCCACCTTATTCATTGTTCCGTTTTATTTTTATTAGCGGTTAGCGGTACCGTTAAAATTTTCTACTTAAAACGCTTGTGTGCATGCTCTGCCTCCGATTTACATCCGAAGTGGGTAACAATAAATGAGTATTGTTGGAAAAATTATGTGAGTAAATGAAATGTACTTTTGTTTACTTACAAGTAAATAATAATGAAATGTACCGAGCCAAGATTAGTTGATTAAAGTAGTATATTTGCAGTTGTATGGTTAAGATAAAGGTGCCAAAAAAAAAATTTTTTTTTTTTTTTTTAATTTTTTATTTTGAAGTAATAATTATCTTATGTTTGGTATGAGCTTTGCGTGGATAACATTTCATTAATCTGCGATGGCTAGTAATGACTTTATTTTGGTCATTATCATCTAAATCTGTTTTATTTCCGTTACACCTTTATACATATATAAATACAAAATAAAATCTGTTACCAGCTACAAGCCGCATAAATTAAGTTTAGCCACGGAATCGTCAAATCCTTAGAAGAAATATCTTCATCTAACAATTATAAGTATTATTGCGCAAAGTTCAATGGTCTTGCACTCGAATCCAGCAAAAATTATATCAGCTTTAACATTATACCTTATTATACAACATATTACCTAGTATTATAATTACTTAAATTCTTATAATATTAATACTTTTTGTAAATTTTCCGAATAACTTTGATATCGGGTGCATCAGACAGAAAGATGGACTTTTGTTAAAAGGTATATACACAAAGTTACAAGTTATATCGTAGCGTATGAAAAAAATAGAGACTAAATGGATTTTTTCTCTTCAAGTAAATGAAGAATCCATAAAAAAAAAAACTATTTAAGGTCTCGTCAAAAAATTAATTTTGAAATTTAGAAATGCGTATATCAGGCTTTGTTAAGTTTTTTTTTTTTTTTTTAGTTATCATGTACTCGTGGGACAGCAAAGGTGAAACAAAATTCAATGCTTTTGTTGCGGAATATGGTACATTAAAAAACAACAACGAGGCGTCGATCAGTAATTATATGTTTGAAAGTAAATGTGCGTTATTACGTGTAAACCCGGTTACTCAGACAGTTATATATACTGGCCAAGGTCAGTACCCCTCCAAGGAAGGAAGAAATACTTACACTGCATCCCACACATATATACAACGAAATCTAATTTCGAAGCGATTGTCAATGTAAATATAAGCTTGAGCTTCAATTTCCTCAAGATCGAATAGTTTGGATGCGTCAGGTGGCCCAACCAGAATAACACGCGCACCTATTGTACATACTTGTATCTATTGTGCACAGAGAGGAGACGAGGCTTTGAATGTCGCGAGTCGTGCAGCGCGCGCTATCAAAACAAAGTGACGGTAAAATTAGACCAAACGAGATACATAATGCTCGTTGTTTGAGTATTACGTATACGTGGGGTACACTCGGAGTGTTATTCTATATTTAAAATATAAGCATGCGACAAAAAATTATATATATTTATAATTGAAGGAACGAGGGGGATACATGAAGCTATAGGCTTACCCTCCACAAGCCAAATTTGTTTTTCACCTTTACCTAGCTGGCACTCGTATTGTATTGTTTGTTTTGCCATGTGTAAGTATACAGGAGGAATTATTTTTTGATTACCCAAACAATGAGTACCACATCACTGTTTAGCACTTGTACGCGTATGGGTCCGTACAAGAGAAAAATCCTCCTTTCGTTTAATTGTATTTAACTTTTTTTCTTACATCTCCATTTGTATATACATATACAAGGAGAATTTTACGAATTTACACAATATAATAATCTTTCTTACGTATATGCGCACACGTCACACATGATGTTATGCACACGTGCAGATATATATATATATATATATATATATATATATATATATATCAGAGTACATACTTTAAGATCAGTACACTCTAGTATAAAAAAAAGATATACATCAGCAAAAGAATGTTTTTGGATTATACCTACATACGTATAAGCATCTCAAAATGCATGTGCATCGATAACACAGGCGTGACAAAAAAAAAAAAAAAAAAAAAAAAAAGAAAGATAACTTTTCAATCTTCGTTCCTGAGATACGGGCGACGATTGTGAGATCATAGCTAAAGCTCCGAAATCCACAATAAATTTTTTGCATCGCCGATGAATCGTAATCGTAACTTTATCTCGCTCGTAACCTACATATATATATATTGCATATAGCAAAGAAAGAGAGTCGCGTAGCCTCGACAATTCGACGAACCTCGAAGCTTATCACTTTACAATACGGCTCAGCTTCGCTCGGACACACACCTACATATTTATGACATCGCGCAGTATATATAGGTATCGTGTTTCTCAACCCATTCTCGTCCACTCTACTTTACTTTCGTTAATATATTCCACCCTCTTGGCTTCATTTTTTTTATTTGCTTCTTATTTTAACGTACTCCACATCAACAATCAGCTGTGGGGGTTGAGTGTTGGATAACAGACAGTTTTTACAGTGGCGAAGAAAAAAAACAAAAAAAAAACGCTTAGATAAAAGTACTGCAGTTGTTGTTTTCCCTCGACATGTAACTAAACAAAAATATCGCCGCCGGGGCCGTGGACGAGGGAACGTCCGCGCTCGTGTGCTGTACGATGATTTATATTTTTACACGTTTGCCGGTGATTAGGTATATCTAGAGTAATTAAACAAAAGTCGGTCCATATTCTTTTGGTACACTTGTTTCGCGAGAAACAAAAAAGAAATGTCATACAGCTGCATAAAAGCGTTGCAAATCGTCAGTCGACTCTCTCTCTCTCTCTCGTTTAACAAAACTATGGAGGTATATGTACACGTATAGCTTCGACATGACAGCTTTTATCTCTTGCAGGAAGTAATCGCACGAGAGGCATTGAAATCATTCGATAAATGAAGGCGATACACGACGAGAGAGAAAAAACATGCAGAATGCACTCTCTTCATCCATACTTTTAGCTCGTGTTGCTCGGAAAGATAAGAGGTATACACATATATCCTACTTTAATTAACGCAAGTATAGATCAAGTTCAGTCAAACGACATTGAAATGCTCGTACGAGTATGCAATTCACATATATTACAGGGTGTACATCGAAACATAATTGTATACATATGCATTATGAACTATCATCCAGTTGAGTACACACGATAATTATAAGGGACAATGACATGTGAATAAAGGGAATAAAGTGCACGTTATTTAAGCACTCATAGATGGAAGGCGAGAAAATTGTTTGAAGAAAGTTACATAATGGTACTTGTTGTACACGTGCTACATTTCACGTCTTGCCAATAATATAATTTTATAAATAACAATCCGCTATAGCTCATCCCTGAGTGCTTATGTATACAGGTAGCACTGATTTTATAATTAAAACTTTCAGTTCTGATTCATAGCCAATCGATCGTACATCACAACGACTCCAATTTTAGTTACATAAACGTGCGGGTGACTGTAGATTTTTTTTAAGTTATACACGGGTCAACCTATAAGATTGTATATTAATTAAAAAATACAACATCCAGCCAAGAAATGTCACGTATGACGACAACAGGTGCACACAATCGCACCGAAAACATTTATCGAGGTGCCAGTCAACTCAACGCCAAGAAGACGGCACCAATAAAATATTCAGTATACGTGGAACATGCCTATAGGTATACACGAAACAAAAAAAGCGCCGGGTGACGGAGGAATAAGGTCAAAAACATGACGAGATGTATACATGTACAACAACTTATCAAGTATACACGCGGAAAATACTCGAGGACCTTTCCTCCTCAATCGTATATGTACCTATATATATGTGTGCTTATATTGACGCGCAGTCGCGTGATTTGGCACTCCTTTGGCATGAGCCAAAGTGCTTTTTTGGTCAGGACACTTTGCGAGTATTTTTTTATTCGAATCATGTACAGCACATGTAGGACACGAAACAGAAAGAGCGCAAAACAATAATCGATTGACCCACATCGGCAAACAGTTGCTTGACTTCCTTGTGCTCGCACCATCGCCGATGCATATCATGTACAACGACGAATGGCCCATTGAAAGGAAGAAAAAAAGAAACACCAGCATTATTCCCTTTTTGTTTGGACGATCATATCGAAGCTTGCAAGCGCACGACCCCGTGGTGGTTCTTGGTGCCGCGCCTAAATACCGGGGCTCGCGCTGCATCTCAATGTTGCTCCATTGAACTTTAACGCCGCTCTCGTTCTTTTTAAACAGCAGAGGCACACAGAGCTTGACGTGTCTCTCCGCACATGTAAGTTCGCACGCGCGTGCTCTTCTTGAAGCTCTCTTTCCCTCTCTTCCATGTATATAGACGTCTGGAGCGGTGCCAGGAGCTCTCTTCTCGGTGCTCTATCTATCTGTGTGGCTCTTGCGCAATACCTGCGTGTGACTCGCTCCGCTGACCCGCTTCATCGACGTCTTTTGCTCCCACTTTTGGTAGCGTTGCTCATGTCTCTCTTGTTTTGTGGTATATTGCTCTGGTATATATACAGAATAATCGTTGTCGGGTACACCTGTGGATAATGAAAAAATATACGAAAATTAGACAAAAGCATAGGGGCTTTGGTTCATGTATTTCAATATCTGGCCTATGAGTCTATGCATTCTTTGGACTTACTTTATACAGTAGAGACTATGGATTTTAAGCTGCTGCTATATTGTCTTGAAATGCCAGAATGGTGAAAATGAATAATTCAATTGATTTTTTGCAAGATCTTTTAATTTTCAACTAAAATGATATCAAGCTAGTACACTTGCTTCATTTAGTTTTGCATGGAAGGACTTAACTGCGGATAATACACATAAATATTGAATAGTAAATGTTTGAAAAAGCGTTGTTAGCCCGCCTATTTGATTAAATTCCTACTTTTGCAATTTTCATCGTATTGAATTACGCTATTTTATTTAACATGCTGGTACTACTATTTCGAAACAGGTACGTTAGAAATGAAAAAGAAAATAAAACAACCTAGATAATGATATCGAGGAAAAGTGGTGAAATGCTGAATAAAAAAAATAGATTGGCGAGGCGATAGCTATAGTTCAAGTTCAATTTCAATCATGTAGAACATAAGTACACATCATCGCGTCGCCAACAATTCGACTTTTTCCGTGCGCGAAAACGTGCACCGCCTTCGTGTACTACTTGGCCGTTTTTGTTACGTAAGAACATATCGATCGGTTCCCACATTTCGTTGCTGTCTCTAAAAGTTTTCATGCTGACAAAAAAAGACGTAAAAAAAACCTCGCGATGTATCATGTTTGTTTCAAATTAGCAATCGGGGTATAACATTGACACTCGTTGAATCCGTGACGTAACGGTTCCAGTGATCTCTACACACTATAAAATCATATATCGATCGGCCGTCGTCGCGGTGAAGGAGACGGTGACACAAGAAAACTATAAGTACTCACCACTGCACTTTTTCGCTTGCACGATATACACATCATATATGTAGATCGACGTTGCGCGCATGGTCGAGCGGTCAAAGAGCCAAAGAGGCTGTGCAACATCATATATTATATTCTATACCTAACTCGGTCACGAGCGCGTCTGTCTGACATGGCATGCAGGATGCATGGCCCTGACTCGGAATTTCCCCATTTTTTGAGCGTCCCGCCATTCTGTGGAGCCCGCGTGGGGGCACACACACCCGGCAACCTTGCACTTACGTCGTCTGCAAGTCGATGGAACGTCATTTCACCGGATGGATGATTTTTGTGAATATTCACAGTTATGCATGTTTAAGATCGGCAATTGTTGCTGAAACATGACGTTTTTTAGCCAAAGACTAAGTATGGGCAAAAAAAAATCCAGCCATCACACGCAGCGAAGAAAGCGCTATTGCCAGCTGCAGTGACTATAATTTTCACTTTGAACTTGACATCAGCGGTGCTCGTTGGCGCGGTAAATTTAAGCGCGCCCGTTCGCGATATTCTCCCCCCCCCCTGCATGTGTAACACGTACGCATTACGCAACCGCCAATCTGTCAGCAGAGTGTGCAACGCTCAAATCAATCTCTGGACTGAAAAAATATAATATTAATATGGGGATGCAACTCTAAAATATGAAGAAAAATCGTACCTAACCCTCAAACGAATTCAGGCTATGAGTAAGCTAGTAAATTTTTTTTGGTCTTTGCCGAAAGACCGATTGCCTGATGGTGATTATTCGAATCGCTGTTTGTTTAAATTACTCTCATCAATAAAGAATCATCAAAAAACTCAGGCGTGGGGATTAAGATATAAGGGTGTAGGATTTTCTAACCCCTTCTACTCGATGATGATGAAGCAGGTGTTAGCGAGAGGGTGCGGGGCCGGGGGGGGGCATGTGCAGGCGTGCATGCGCAGAAACCGGGCACTGTAGCAGTAGACAATTTTTGCTCTACCTAAATGCACCACGTGACCCGTGCCGTTCTATATTCTCGGGGGCCGAGTCGGGGCTGCACCGCTCTTTCTCTCTCTCTCTCTCTTTGGTTTTCTTTCCTTTACCGAGTCACAGCAGCGTACTCGCGGCAGCTCGAACTGGTGCTGAGGAGTGCACAAGCTCGCTCACTCGTCGTCCGGCGCGCGTCCGATACAGGAGTCAAATCTCTCCTCTCTTCCTCACGCTTTTTTAACCCGTGTACTAATACTCACACCAGCCAAAACCCACCCACTCACACACACACAAAATGTCTGGTCTCGCGGATCCCGTGGCTTTTGCCAAGGACTTCATCGCCGGTGGTGTTGCCGCTGCTATCTCCAAAACCGCAGTAGCGCCAATTGAGCGTGTCAAATTGTTGCTCCAGGTCCAGCACATCTCGAAGCAGATTGCCGAGGATCAGCGCTACAAGGGTAAGTACACCAAGTACCTCCGTTAATTACCTTTCTACTTCGCTCACCAAAACGTGTAGGGATGTGTGCGTGTACGTGTGTGCCCTAGGTCGTGGGTTTTTTATACATGATTCATAAACTCTTGAACCGTAAATTCTTATCTTGTCGAGTGCATACAATGACGTGCGACCGTGACACGCGGTGACGGCGGCTGCTAGCTCTTTTTTTTATTTTTTTATTCCTCAACAGTGCGCGCCTCGTGTTTCTTGCTCATCTCATCTTTTTTTCACAAGAACCATGACTGCCACGCACCTCAGAGTGAATTCGTGCGCGTTGGGACACCTTCTTAGCCATTCCGAGCACGTTAGAAAAAGAGGAAAGAGGAAAAAGAGACACCAATATTAGTTTCGAGTTTATAACGGCTCAAGTGCGAGAGGGACAGACGGTGACAGCGACCAGCCAAGGCGATGATGCTGCGGGAAGAAGGGAAAAAGACGTGCTGGCTCGGCTATCCATATTACACGTATCTAGAACATGAGACCCTTGTCTGCAGAGGAAACTGTCTATTCGTCGTCATCGTCGCGCCAAGGGCATTTGTTATGTAACGGTCACCTAAATTCACATATTTTCGCGTCTATTGTTGACGTTATGCACTAATTGCCCGAATCGGTGCTACTACTTTGCTTCCTAAATGCAATTTCGGCCAAACTCGGGAACGTTTTTGTTTATTAAACATTATATTTATAATACAATGAAGTACGGGAAAGAGCGCGCCTATTTAGGTATCAAGAAGGACGAGTGAACTCGTCACAGCTTTGAATGCGTTGGAGGCTCGGGCGTGGGAATATAGTTGAAATATGAATTGTTCGAATGATGGTTCTTGCTCGCTGTTATCAATGAAATTTAATTGAGTAAAATGCAAATTTTGGTTGACAAGTATATGGCAAAGGAAAACCTTGGTGAAAGAGCAGACGCGCGTGGCTACGACTATGGACGACGATGACGACTCGTATACCCTCTGCGCGATCGATAACGATGCGGTCCAACATGGCGGATATTACAAATATATATACATATATGGGCCTACTCCTCGCCAAAGCAGACACCCTTGCCTTCTGCTGCTCGGTGTTTTTTGCTTCGTTTTTCCTTTACAGAAATAGTTTAACTGAATTTAATCCAAACAATCGTTACTACATAGGTGTTTCAAATCTGACAGACGAGAGGTTAGGTCGGCTGACCCTAATACTCCAATTGATTATTTTTCGTGCATTATGTTTCAAGTATTGATAAATTATTTTCAAACGAATCAATGATAATTCAATTAAGATCTTCACATAGTCTTAAAAGCAATACTGGGCGTGACATTGTCGTGTCTTTGATGTATGTAATAAGTACAAATTAAAACATCATCTATACTTATTGCATAGTACATATTTGCAAAGAAATATAATTTTTAAAAACATCTACATTCGATGACATAAGTTATTCTCAATATGTTGACAATTTTTATCGATTCCTTCAATAGACTGATGTCATACAACTTTCTTTTTTGTCAATTATAAATGGTTGCTCATATCGATTCAATTAAAAGATCCATTAGATACAAATGCTATCTATTTTTTGCCTGCGTGAAGCGCCGAAATCTCAAAATGATTACGTGAACATTCGACCCATCAGGAAATTCTTGCATGACAGTAGTAGTGCTCGATATCTAGAGCAAAGCAAGCCTCTTACAAAAATCGATCTTGTACTTTAAAGTACTTAGGTACGCTTATGCACGCGCTTGTAAACTCCGCACGACACATCGGGTCTGATTAGAGGTTAGGCCCTGACCTTGAGGGGGAAGCTATAGTTTAAAGAACGCGGGCGCGCTCGCATAACATGTTACATAGGTATACGGCACAATGTATTGGACGCTGTCCAGATAATTCGCTTTCTGGGTTACCGAGTTTCGGACCGAGCGCAAGCGCTCTTTGCTACTCCTTTTTTTTCATCCTCACCTTTTTTCACATCCTACTTATGTGCTTTATCAATGAAAATGTTAATTAATTGTACCGTGTGACTGTTTCAATTGTTACTGCTTTGAAGTAGATTTCGATGTTTTTTTTTTTTTACACGTGTATCTTGAAATAATTGATCAAATGGTTACGTAATTTGTTAAGATTTACATTCAGGTATCATGTATGGGTAAAATTTTGGAGCAAATATCACGAATGGCCCAAAAAGGTTTTTTTTTCTTACGCTTTTAGCAGAGAAATTTATAAGCTCAAAATTAAATTTTTTTGTACAATTATATTTCCGTCAAAGCTCCATAAAGGCGTCAAGATCAATAAAAGTTCTTTACTACCACGTACGTCTCACTACGAAGAAAGTTGAATTTTGAAAATCGACAACTGTGGATTCTCTCATTGAATTTTTATTGTTTATCTAGACATTCTTACATAAATGTCACTTCTGACGCCTATATGTCACCTCGAGCATCAATCAAATAAAAACATAAGTTTAAATGCTCATTTTTCTCATCCCAACACCCTACTTAACAGTATTTCTGTGCTTTCTACATTGTATGTACGTCTAGCACTATCTGCTGACTGTCGTCTTTTTCTCTCTCCGTTGCTCATCAGCTTAGACTATATACAGGCTACTCCGGATAATTCCGGCCCTACCCGAACATCATTCACACTATTGTACCACTATACAATGTACCTTATACCCATAAGTTTCCCGGTCGTTATTCTAATTCTTGTTATGCCATGACGCTCCATAAACTTCTCTAACTATTTGCATGTCTCAACTGTGTTCTTATAAGCACATAACTAATCGCCACGTTTTTCCATTTCGCGTCATTGCTCGCTAGTCGTCGTGCGTGTAAAAAAAATGCTAGTTTAACGAGAGAGAGAAATTAAAATCGAGACGCATAGGTTGTCATCCGCAGCGGCGGTGCCGCCATGTTGGAAAAATCGTGCCAAGGAGAGCTTTTTTTCACGACGAAGGTGACTTTGGTGCGCCCGTTGTCGAGATACTTGCGATTATTTTGAGGCCCGGCGTTACTTTTTTTTTGCACACGGAAAATTAACCAATTACTTACAGTAATTGTATACAAAGTTTTACATAAAAGATGCATTGTCGACGTTCAAGTAAACTTACTCATGGGAATAAAGTTTTTGCCACCGCTTGAGCCTAGAATGATGAATTGTGAGAGAATATAGCTAGTGGATGCAAGAAAAAAAACGAGTACTCATTTTAGCATGTAGAAGTCCGTGTGAAATGTAAATACTTGCCAAGAGTTAGTAGTTTTTTTTTATATGAGAGTAGCTATAAGAGCTAATCCGATCTTTCAATTGATATTTGCAGGTATGGTCGATTGTTTCGTCCGTATCCCAAAAGAACAAGGTTTTCTCAGCTTCTGGCGCGGTAACTTCGCCAACGTCATCCGTTACTTCCCAACGCAGGCTTTGAACTTCGCGTTCAAGGACAAGTATAAGCAGGTCTTTTTGGGAGGAGTTGACAAGAACACCCAGTTCGGACGCTACTTCTTGGGTAACTTGGCATCTGGTGGTGCTGCCGGAGCCACGTCCCTGTGCTTCGTCTACCCACTTGACTTCGCTAGGACCAGGTCATTAATTGTTTCATCACCCGTTACGTGCATGCGTGCACGATTACAAAATTGAATTAATGCATTGTATTTTCGTGTTTATTGCAGGTTGGCCGCCGACGTCGGTAAATCCGGTGGTGAGCGTGAGTTCTCAGGTCTCGGAAACTGTCTAACCAAGATCTTCAAAGCTGATGGCATCAGCGGTCTATACAGAGGCTTCGGTGTATCCGTCCAGGGTATCATCATCTACCGTGCGGCGTACTTCGGTTTCTATGACACAGCCCGTGGCATGCTCCCCGATCCCAAGAAAACTCCATTCCTCGTCTCCTGGGGTATCGCGCAGGTCAGTTGCAGTTCCTCTGTGTACACAAACAATTGATAGCCTTGTGCATATGCGTCCAGTGATCACGTCAATTATTTACATTAATGATATTGCTTGTGATTTTAGTGTGTGACAACCGTTGCCGGTATCGTGTCCTATCCCTTCGATACCGTGCGTAGGCGCATGATGATGCAGTCTGGCCGTGCTAAGACCGAGATCTTGTACAAGAGTACCGCCCATTGTTGGGCCACGATCTTGAAAAGCGAGGGTAGTGGCGCCTTCTTCAAGGGTGCTTTCTCCAACGTCCTCCGTGGTACTGGTGGTGCTCTCGTATTGGTACTCTACGACGAGATCAAGAACCTCCTGTAAATCAATCCCATGCTCCTAAGATCTAACAGCAACAACAACAGCCCGATAAAATTAACAGGAACGATAAAGAATCTTCTCATATTAGTGTCTACACCAACGACAAGTGTAAATGTTATTTAATTCAAGGAATTTTCGACAGATTAACGTTTATAATCCACCAAACGGTCTTCACGTCATTGCCACACAATCGATGATTTTAAGATAAAATAGAATGTTTTGATGAGAAAAAAAAAAAAAAAACTAATGGGATAAAGTATCAAAATACACATACACGCACTCCCTATCCGTAATTTAAAAACTGCCCCATAACATCGCACCCCTTATGCCACCACCCCATGTCAACTCCGGTATATAAAATGTCAAAAAAATGTTGAAAAATAAAAAAAAAATAAAAAAAAATAAAATAAAAGTAAAGAAATGGGGGGAAGGGAACAAATTTGAACACGCTCGTCTCGACAATTTCATGAATAAACTCGCGAAGCAAGATTTAACGGGGCACGCGAGCGAGATATGTTTTATACATTCGGTAGCTGTGGAGTAAATCACAAAGAAATCGTTTGAAAAGTAAAGAAACGGACAAAAAAATGCAATTCGTTTAAGTTATTGCCGGATTCAGTATTCACTCATTCTGCGCTACCATTCGACTACCATTATTCTCCTTGCCGACCGTTTTATCGTGTAAGCTAATTTAAACAATGCAAAACAGTGAAATACACGTACGAACGTATGTGCGATGCTAGGATAAATATTTTAAACAAAATGTATAAAAAAAGTAATAAAAATAAATCAATTGTAATGTAATAAAAAGGGAAGCTGGTTGAAAAGACGCGTTTCAGCGACTTTTCTCGGCTTCTCGCGAAAGTGTGTGCGTTCCACGCATTATAGTTGAATTTTATGTTAATATTTAAACTGCAAAGTTGATTGAGTAACAATCGCCAGCACCACATAGACATAAACATGTAATCGAGAGAGTATTTATGAAATTGGTGATTAATAACTAAAGCCATGTTCGGAACTTGTGTCTTTTTGCCATAGGCACAAGTACCGATACAAGACTCGATGAAAGAGACGTTGCAACAATTGTAACAGTTAAGAGAAAGAAAGAGTAATAAATGGACGCGCGGCAAATTTAAGATCACACAAAACAAAACATCAACATTAACAACAAGCTTTTAAAGCCAAAATAATTAACGGAACGGCGATGGCGGGGCGCGTAGACGTGGGCCGCCCCCGCCCTTCAAATAACAAACACTTCTCGGCCCATTGTAGATAATTAAAATAATTGAATGAAAGTGTAACAATTTCGTTTTTGTCGAGAATATGATTGAAAAAAATATGTATCTGAAGAGTTGGCTAATCATTGGAACAGCGGTTAAACTGAAGGATTTTATTTTAATTCCGCACCTGTAAAGCTCTCAGAGATATTACGGTTTTCTTCTTACTTCGTGTGTACATCAAACAAACGAATGATTACAGGTTCAAGAGAAAAGCGTGAATATTCTGTGAATAAGAAATGTATACATCTAATCTGTTCATGTTAAGATGTATGCATGAAGGACAGATCAATAAAAATCGAAACAAAAACTTGACTTGTTTGCTTTTACTTCACCTTTGTTGTACTAATAGTTGATACGTTCTATTAATTGGAAATGTTTGTTTTGATATATTTTTAAATCAATTGAAGAATACATGATTTGAAAAAGTTGATTCAAAGTAACTCTGATGTCAATGATAATAAGTTCAATAATTAATAAAAGTTAGTTTTATATGAAGAGAGACAATAATCTAATGTTGGAAATTCCAAAACAGTAAATTCTAATAACTCAAACAAATTTATCAAAATTCACGTATTTTACTTATTTTTTTTTTATTCTTATATAATCTAAATAATTTACACAAATTATTATTCCCATTTATTTGTTGAATTGACGGCAGTTGATAGATTTCATAATAGTAAATATAAAAAATCGAAGTCACTTTGGAATGAGTATACAGTTCTTCACCAATACATCAATGAAAGTATACATAATATGTTCACTTGAAATGAATTAAACATACAAAATACCCTATCTGCCTGGTTATCAATAACACTTAACAGGAAAATTGTTACAATTCGCTTTACAATCCATGAATTTTCATCAACTTTTATTATCACATTTCCCATTCACATTAGTAGCCAACCTAATGGAATGACCCATAGAAACAAAGTTCAATGAAGAATCAGATATATCAATTGTAGATCATATATACAGTTGAACAGTGGCACAGTGTAGAGCAAAATCTTTTATAAGGTCATACTCTAGTTCTATTTGAATCACCAGCTAACATATCAAGGATTCTACTGATCCCGGGCATGTTACAGAATGTACCTAGAATTGGAACCCTTCTCAAGAAATTGATAGCAACTGGAAGGAATCCACTGAAATTTTTATGTCAATATGTCATAAAATTATTTGGGTGTTTCAAATTAAACATATTAATGAATCGGGATATTACCTAAACAAAAGGACAAATCCATAAGTTTCAAATATCATGCCAACAATGGGCCAGCCCATAAGCACAATAAAAATTCCACCTATAAATGCTAAACTTGCTTTGAGTTTGTGCTTTTGAAAAAAAAAGTTGAATGTTCTCCATGGGCCAATGACACATCCTAGGCCTGATATAAATAAAATCTGAAAACAATTCTTCCATCAGCATCTTGAAAATTATTTCGACACAAAACTTTTAGATCAGTTACAGATAAGATTTGATTAAAAATATAAACTCACATTGCCAATGGCCAATAGGCCCTTATCGAACAACAGTAGTACACCAAGGAACAAAAAAGTAATACCAAAGCCAGCGAGGCCTACGCCGATTTCTATCGAAAAAACATTTTTTATTAATTACTACACATTCTTAAACATTTAGAAGCAGGAAATAAAATTTTTTTTTAGAGAAGTCAATCTTTATTGACAATTAAATGTTGCAAAGAAAATATTAGTATTTTGATACCGCATAAACGTACTCTGTGTGTCAGTGATTTCGAACATATTCACAACTTATAATCGAAGCATCAACAAATTTTGTGCAAAATAATAAAATATACACTCCGACGTGCGGCGCGAAGTATTTTCTCGGATAAAGTGACAAACTGTAAACATAACCTATTTCCACGTCATCCTTTTCTGGAATGATACAAGGCGTACAAAAATTGCATCAATCAAAATGATTTTAACCACATATTACGAGCGATTCGCGAAATCATTGCTATATAGTAAGTAATTCTTAATTATTTTGGTCATTTATGCTAAATAAAAAATAAAAAATCTGACGTGAGATGTGTATGTGTTTTATATATATACTTATAAAAATGTTTATTTATATAAAAATAGTGTTGGCCATCTTGAGACTTGAGTTCGAGAGTTGCACATGTTGGTAGAACTGTATGGCAGGCGGGCTTTTTAAAATTACTGAATGGCATATATATTTTTGTTCCATACAAGTAACCAAATAATCTTGACCATTTAAAATTTTAATTCTAGCTTAGCCACGTACTTATATTTTGCATTGTTTTGTAAGTATTAAAGGTACGTCGGATGCATCAGAAAAATGCTTAAGTGCTTTTTGTACATCTTGATGCAATTATTGATGTTGTAAGTGTCAAAATAAAATTTTAAAATATACACGTTAATATGCTGTAAACTCGATGGTGATACAAATTTTTTATTTGAGGCTTCGTTCAGAATAGAGGAATCTTGGTTAAGTATCAATTTTTTTTTTTTTTTTTTTTTTCAATCTTTCCAGCAACACAGTTAAATTCTCAGCTTTTTGTGCTAATAATTTTAAGTCTTGAAAATTCTATTTCTCTCATCAAACACTGTTGAAATGACTCTTGAACTTTCTAAAATAATGTTTTCATCCTTTTCCAGTATATAGTCTTCACTCTTCACTTTATTTTCCAGACTTACCACCATCATTATTTTTGTACGGCTTTCTTTTATATCTATATGTAGGGGAGAAAAGAAACAAAAATTAGCTCGAACAATATTATATTTGCCAAAATTTTCAGAGGAACGGTAGGATGGGATGGTATGTAACAAACAAAAATTTCAGACAACATTTTTACAAAATATACTTAATTTTATTGTCCAGTACAAATTTCGTTATACGTATACGTACAAATATACATTATACATAATTATCTTAAACGTTACCGGATGATAAGTTAAGGGATGCTGATGTTTTAACGATGATTATATTACAATGGAATAAAGCTATACACGTTACTCGTTAGTATGGCTATAAAATGTACGTTTTACATGCAAACGATGATTTACGGTGTGATTTATTTACAAACAATAATCATAATTTGTATAGTTGAAAAAAATAATACAACAATTAACAGATCAACAGTGAATCAGCACATGAGGGATGCTCGTAGCCACTGAAAAATAAACAAAATATGTTATTTATTTCATTATCGCACATGTGATCACTGAATTTTTCCAACTTAGATAAGCCTCGTTTCATTTTACCTCTGATAGGCTCAATTTGATGGATCCGTTTTGCAGCGGGTCCTTACTTTCAAATATCGCTGTAAAGTAATTTCAATCGAATCATCAAACTTTCACGGTTGAATGAAGAAAATACACGTAGAGAAAAAAAGAAAATCTCACCAAAAGCATCGTTCAGGTGCATAATAGCGGACACAAAGTCACCAAATCTCAGAGTCCCGTCCTTTCTCATGTACCGCAAAATCACAACCGAGAGAACCTCCGTGCTCAGCTGAAAGCCTAAGGACAAACATTTACCGGACAATAATCATTTTTTTTTTTTTCACCTAAAAATTAAAAAAAAAAAAAATACCAACCAACTTCGAGCAAGGCATCGCGAAGTCTTTCGGCCTTCAGGATGCCAGTTTTCTCTTTCGTGTGATTTTTGAAAGCAGCTTGCCAATACTTCAGGCTGCACATCAGGTCTTTAAAATCGTTGAACTTTAATCTCCCGCTACCGGTGCTCTACATTATACACACACATTTCAACGTTTGAGGAACAATATGTTGTTTTATACCATTTAAATCACTTTGTCGCAAGGGCGATGGTACAAAAGTGGATGTACACACAAAAAAAAAAAGGATACGTCCATTGAAAGCACGACTTGCCGGCAAACGTCCATACAGGCGCAGCTCTTGATGTAATCTGCAACGAAAACAGGAGGACATCGTCGGTTGAAAAACATTCGAAGAAGTACACAACATAATACTCATATTTTGAAAGACGAACCATTGGGCAGACAAGCCTCGAGCAGTTCCTGAAGCTCGAAGGCGTTGACGGTCCGGTGCTCGTCGGCCAATTGAAGGAAGACGGCCTCGTACTGGGAGAAGCCCTTGCCCTCGAGCGGCGGTGCCTTGATTATTGCCGACTTTAGAAGCGACGGCGGCGTATCGAGCAATCTACACAATAACGAAGCATCACCAGATCAACGCGTGGTGTCTCAGTTCCGGCAGAAATAATTATTAGTTTGGCATAATGTATTACTTGAGCTTGAGCGGTTTGCTGCTGTAAACGCGCAGGGTGAAACTCGTCTCCTGGGTCGGCTCGAAAGTCGTCGGTACGAGAAGATAACCTCCCTGGTCCAGCTGGCACCTGTGGCTCACCTGCCTACTGTTCGTGTACTGCGAGTTGATGAGTGATTTGTTTTTCTTGAAGAACTGCTTGTTTATCGATTCCGTGCTGTTCTTCGGCAGCGCGTAAGCCGTGAAACCGATCACCTGTTCGACCAACCAACCATGTATCATTGTTTATTCCATCCCCTCTTTTTTTCCCCACAGCGTTATTCAAACATTATATGAATAAATATTACCTTTGGTTCCATGATCGAGTGCTGGTTCAGCGAGACGACGACCTCCTCCATTTCCGTGAGCATGAGGTGCAACTGTGGATTGATGTGGAACGTTTCTGAAGCAGCAAAAAAAAAAAAAAAAAAAAAAAGGTACGTATATATTATGTTGATGATTCATTCTTTTGGGTAACTGATTGTGTGTATATTATATGGATCACGCATCACCTTGGTTGTTCCTGCAGCCGCCGGCAGTGACGCCCCGCCTCCAGCTGCCCTGGTAGAGCTTCATCTGCCACGTGTGCTTGCTGTGCAGGGAGGGCTCGTCCCGCGAGGTTTCCGCGTCGAGATGCACTACCTCCAAGTGCGTGAACGTCTTCACAAAGTCCGAGTACGAGATCCTACGAGAACACAGTACATGATCAACAGATCGCAATATACACATCCCTTTTTGCTCAGCGTCAGATGATAAAATCACCTGATAATCACCCGATTGTCTCATGATCATCACCTGATTTTTAGCTGATTGTCGCCTGATGTATAATTGAATCAGGTGAAAGTTAGCGGAACGTCAAGTGAACATATCATGTGAATATCGGGTGAACTCTATTCAGCAAGGTTCAAGCAAAGCTCACCCGATATTTACATGATATTCAATCACCAATATTCTACATGAGGCGATAATCGTGAGAAAACCGGATGAATATCATGCCAAAATGTCAGGTGATTATCAGGTGATTATCAGGTGATTGTTTGAATTGTTAAAAGTGGGGGTGATAGTAATTACGTATATATATTGTATATATGTATGTATGGCTCACCAAAACTCTCCCTCAGCCATGTTGCGCACGGCGAGTCTGTCGCGTTCGGTGGGCGGCACCTCGTCCCACTCGAGGCCCCCGCGCGTCCACGCGCCGACGTACTCGCCCCCCGGGCCGAGGGGGTTGCGAAGTTTCACCAACTGCACTTGCTCCCCGCTGAAAGTCTCCACCTATCGCACGCGTGTACATGTACAACGTGGTTTCGTTATGTACAAAGTGTTACGCGCACAAATATATACAAATAGGTGCAGTTTTACCCTTTCGATGGCGTACAGCCTGTAGTTTATGCCCATTTGTATGCCGTTCGCCAGCTTTTCCGTGTTCGACCTTATCTGCGCGAAATCATTTGTTACTTGTTCTTATTTGTGATGAAATGTACGAACGTTGCAAACTTATTTGAAATTAATTTGTGTTCAAATTAATGTACCTGTTGGTTGTTGTTGACGGTGCACGTGATGAGGGACGTCATGTCCAGGAGTTTGGCGAGGGCCCGTCCGCAACCGGTGGGGTCTTGGCGTATGGCGATGCTCTCGGTAATGCCGCCCGTGAGGTCCGACAGGCCGTCGAGTAAGGTGCCGTACTTGAGCGCCTCGTACGAACCGTGCAATCTGGGCAAAGGCCGAACAAGGTTGACAAGTGTTTTATTTTGCTTATATGTTTTACATTTTTTACAAATTTTGTTTTTTTTTTTTTTTTGTTTCTCTATTTCTATTAAAAATTTTCTACGCTTTAAAATTACGAAAAAAACAATAAACATGACATTTGGCAGGGTGCTCGCGTCGCAAAGAATTTTTTTTTTTCTTTTTTATGTGTCGAATGGTGCTGTTTATCACGCGTATGCGAAATTACCATGCGCGAGCATATGGTAAAATTACCACAAGTAAGCCACGTTTGATTGTGCGATTTCGGTACTATACGATGAAAAAAAAGTCCTTAAAATATGTAAGACTTTAACGAGTTGATATCACAAGAATAAGCTAAAAAAATGACTGTAAAGTTTCCCCAGATAGCGCTTATTATCGTCCATCCTAACTGACATTAAATACATCAAGTGCAAAAAGACGTATAGACCCTGCAATATCGCAACTAACCATCGTATATCGTTCTTACAAAAGGTAAGTAGCAGGGCTAATTGAAAAAGGCCAGTGGCATGCTTCCCTCCCCCTTCGATAAGGGACTCTCCACGCTACCATTTATATACACTTATGCTTAAAAGTGCACACGTGTGTGTATGGGCCCGACTTTCCCACAGCGGCTGGCGTGCACGACGCGACGTTACCCCGGACAAACGCGGATCGTGCCTTGGGCGAGAAAACGCGCGCGACTTTCTTTAATCGACTCTCCGGACGCCGGCGAAAGCGGCTCTTGTTCGTGTACGTACATTATATGTATATACGTATACATGTACACTTGCTCACTGCATCGAAATAATCGCGATAGGAATTTTCTCACCTATACGATGTAATGTGTAATAGTACGTGTATAACAGCGGGGAAGAGAGCTAATTGTCTGGATTACGCGATTTTTATCAACTCGTCACTTTATAGTGGTAGACGTGTGTGTTGCTTGGAGTTCAAGGTGCGTTGCTTATTTATGGACGATGAGCTATTTTCGTGGTAAGTGTATATAATACATGCAACGACGAGGGATAATGCGAACATAATTTAATGTGCATCCTGTCGTATATGTATCACGATGATGCCACGTACGCAATTAAAAAAAACGATCGGTGCCGCCGACCCTCTCCTCGTGCGCGGGAAAGTCGCGCGGATGAAATTGAGTCGTTTAATAATAATGTCGTCGTCGTGTTTGTTGTGACAAAAACTCGCGGATGACAAGAGAGCTTTTTTGTTTTTTTTTTGTTTTTTCCTTTTTCAATCCGCTTATTTTCAAGGCTGTATTTAAACGTGACACTCGTCATCGGTGTGTACCTACCGACGTGTACGCGGGAAGAAAAACGCACGCAAGAAATTTAACGCCGGTCGAAAGTTTTCTGTCATTTTCACCGTACTTATGTGTACAGCGTGCGTGCAACAGGTTTTGGAGCGAAAAAGTAAAGAGGAGAAAAAAAAGCAGTCGCTGAGAGGAGATAACACGTCCCGCGGGACACTGGTGTGTACTCGCGGAGACGTGCGCGCGTTACGATTGTTTGTTTTTTGCAGCAAAACGAGCATCGCGTGTACATCTTTTTTTTTTTTTTTTTTTTTTTTAGGAACAGATACGGTCGGTATAGGTGAAAAAAAAAAAACAATAGGCGAGACGCGAGTCGATGCATTTATGATTGGCGCTTTTCGTCCGGGAAAACTCTTTTTTACCTGATGTACACCATCAAAGCACAAATTAGTATTCACTTGATCGTGAAACTAAAAGGAAATTTTATATCAAATGCAATTTAATGCATGAATATATGGAAAACAAGGAAAAAAAAAAATGCTAGATGGAAGTACACTCGTTCCAATATCAAAAGACGTAGCGAGCGAAGGGAGTTTATTAGTGTTTCTCGATAAAATCTCCCATCAAGAGTCTATCTGTCTTCCTTCCTTCTCTCGTAGTAGCGCTGAATGATAAAAAAAAAAAAAAAAAACGAAGCTAGTACATAAGTAGGTTATTTTGCAGAAAACCGAAAAAAAAAAAAAAACGCGCAAGCAATGGCTGTATGGCCTCTGTAATATACGCATAAGCGTGCGTGAATTAAATCGGTGAAATCGATGCCTATATCTCTCGGTTTTACTGTACCTATACGGTGTATGTACCTGCATTACCTATACATGTACGCGCTGCCAAGGCGTGAAATTAGCATTTTCTTCGTACCCCCGTGTACTCATATGCGCGTGAGTTGCATTGAAAGTGTACTCTATACATTGCGCGCAGATTTTCCTCCCGAAGCCCATTGATAGTACCTACTTCAAAGCCGATTTCATTGAAAAAATGTGAAAAAAGAGTTTATCGCTCAAAAAACGCGACCGTCGAGCTATTACGCAATACACATATATACAACAACGCCACGCAGTATATAGGTGGGTCGATTATCTTTCGGGCTCGTCTCCGAGTCATTCTCACGCATGCGGAGCCTATATATATATATATATATATATATATATATGTATATATATATAATAATAAAGAACAACAGCGCGTGAGTACTTTCTCAGGAAAGGCGCGCGCGACGACTGATGAATGGGCCCCGATGCTGGAGTGAGAACCATCAGCGGATAGAGCGAGGGAGCGGGTTTTTAAGCACCGCGGAAATATTAAAAGGGGTATCGCGTGTTAATTAAAGGTGCGCGCGAGCCCAAGAGCCGCGACTTTCGGATTAGACGCGGCTAAGGGAGTTTACGTGGTTTTTTCTTTTCTTTTTTTTTTTTTTTTTTTTCTATGCTTGACGAGATGAAAAACACTTTCTCCGATCCATTGATTATCCGTTGCTATTTGTTGTTGTTTTTTTTTTTTTTTCAACATTCATTTGATGTTCATGGAAATCGCATTGCTCGGCATCTCTCCAACTGCAGCACTCTTTTAGAAAACCAATATCCCACCTGACGAGCAATTATAAACAATTATCAGCTTTTACCCTTCAGCCGTCCATTAATTGATTTCCCGCAATATTACATGTATATATATATACAAAATATATAGGTGGTGCTCGCGATTTCCCCTTTTACCTGATACGTGTGCGCCACTTTTACCTATACTACATGCGTACATCCGATCTAGAACTCTATTCGCGTCCAATATATCACGAGTAGGTATTTCAGCGGAGCATTTTTTATACACGAAATAGTCACTTGTGTAGATATGTATAGTTTTCCGGAAAATCGGGGCTTCTGTACCTATTACCTCATACCTTTTGGGTGTAAAAAAGAGATCGAAGATAATCAATATTTAACGACAGATACATTAATATACATTCAAGAATTTGCTATTGAAAAATAAAACAATACATTAAGTCTGATATATTTGAACCTAAATTGTCTCGGTAGTGGTACTATATGTTATAATACATAAATTTACTTACATATACAGTAAAAAGTCGGCTTAAATTGGCTTTTCATTGTGCCTCCGTTGAAAGTTTTGGTTTTTAAAAACGAAAAAATGAAGAAAAAAAAAAATCATGGGAAACATAGCATCCGAGTAAAAATACTGTATACCCACTTTCAACGCCATGTTTTCTCGGTTATTATTAATAGCAATCCATTACGGCGAATTATATTCCATCGGAGGAAAAGGAAACGGGAAAATCTTCAATAAACGTCTCTATGATCACGATATTCCCGTCGTGCGAAATAACACGTTGTGCATTACACGTGCACGTTAGCGCGTGAGGGAACTTGTACACGTATATATGTATAAAAATTGCCTGTAATAATATATCTTTGGTGGGAAAGTACAACCGAAAATTTTGCGCATTTACACCATTTGATCCTCCAAATATCTCACGATACCTTTCTTAAATCAGGCACAGAGGAAGAAGAGACAACATTTTTTGCCACACGAAGAGTACGAATTTTTTCCGGCAGCTTTTCTCAACGAAACTACCGCAGATACCGTGTGCCTGGCAATTATCAATTAAGGTACACCTGTGCTCAGTGTTTTTATCCTCTTTTCGTTGTAAAATTCGAATGGTCACGCAATTAGTGCCCATGTACGGCCGCAAAAGCATCTAATATCAACTACTTTTCTCGTAAGTACCGTTCTTGTACTGTACACAATACACGTGTGCTGTATATATACTTTTAATAAAAAAAATGTTTCAATCGCAAAACGAACTTGAAAAATTTTTCAGCCGAAAGCCGCCTATTGTATAGTACTTCGTCATTACGACTATAATGGGTGAAAAATACATTTCGATCATCATACGTGCAAAATACGAGTAAAATTAAAAATAACTAAGGGGCAGTGTACAAAATAATCCAATTACTGTATAGAGTCAAACCAATTAAACGACTGACGCCTCTTTGCGGTGGAGAATTAAGTCATTACATACGAAGGCGCTACGATGCGGTGAAAATTACTGGTTTTTTTTTTTTTTTTTTGCTCTCCTTAGTTTGTCAACGGTGAGGGACACCATGGCATCTCTTTTTTGACGAAAAGCCGGAAGGTATACGGGTGTAATGGACTCGTTTCGAGCTCGGTCCTCGTCATCGCGTGACACTCGTGCGCTTCAACGTGTACACGCGGGTAATAACCATCCGGCCGGCGACACAGAAACCGACAAAGGCAGCAACAAAAACACGCGTCGCGGGGAAAATGGATCACCGCGTCATGTCTTATCCTCTGCAATAATCACCAAACGGAGGTAACGAAAAATAATTTTTGTTTGCAGATCAACAATCGTTGGCTTTGGCAGCTTGGTCGGGGTATGTCATTTCATTTACTGTATATGGAAGAGCTTGGGATTGCTTTTCAAGCAAATAGTTGTGACGAAAGACAATATACCCGTACGTAACCTGGACAATTTTCAAGTCTTCATTAAAACTTTGGGACCCCCCATAATATACTTCGGGATTTTTCAGAGATCTTTTAACACACGACACGCGAAGCGAAAGGAGTCACAGAAAAAAAAAAAAAAAAAAAAAAAAAAAGGGTTGATTACACGCGTCAGGCGTAA